TGCTGAAATGTACATGTGTGTAAAGGATGGCACATAATATTGCAAGTTTCCAAAAGCAAGTCTTTTCATGATGATAACTCCCAGTAACCTGATGCATTCTTCTGTCTCTCTGAACCAAGTTTGACCACACTCACTGATGGAACCGAACACTTCTGTGGCTTATTATAGTCCCCAGGATAGGAGGGAATAGACATGATAAACCTTACCTGTTGTTTAGTCCATCATCAACCAAGCCAGTTTCTCTGGGCCCACAGTGCGGCAGAACATCACGGCAGAAAGGAGTGGTGGAGTGCTGTCTACCTCATGTAAGGAAGCAGAGAGAGCAAGGGAAAGGGGCCAGAGGGAAGAGCAACCCTTCCAAGGCACGCTCCCAGTGACCTACCTCCTCCAGCCATGACCCACCCTGCCTGTAGTCCACCCAGTCAGTAGGTTGGACTGATTAGGTCACAGCTCTCACAGTCTATAACCATTTCACCTCTGAATATTCCTGCATTAACATGGGAGCTTTCTGGGGGACTCCTCAATGTCCAAACCATAACAGATGGGAAGAATGTGACATCTTCAGTGCCACAGTCTGGCTGGGCACACAATCACGAGCCACCACACAGCTTGTAGATTCAAACAGCAACTCTTTATTCCCGAACTCACACCAGCCGTCCACAATCACGTTCTGGGGAAATCCACGTTCTCTGCCCAAATCCACACCCACTGGGCTTCTATCTCCAAAATATACTGTCTGAATCCCGTGAGAACTCAAGGGGAACTCAGGCAGCAGGATACGCCCTATTCCCAGCAGGAATAATCTTAAACCTTAAACCTGGAACCTAAACTGGGAACGCCCTAAACACGATTATCTTAAACCGGGAACACCCTAATCTGCCCTGGTCCTTGAGCAAGGTCACCTACATTCAATGTCACTGCAACATGGGGTACGCTGGCAAGGAAATTGTCATACCTACTTGGCTAATGGCTCCCAGCACTTCAGTACATTTTATTGAATTAGTAGTCATATTCACTTGTGTGTTAGAGATGAGAAACTTGCATGGAGTTAAGTAAAACTTCCTTACTGCCAATCTCAACTACCACTATTGAAATGCTTATTAACTGTCAAATATTAGCATTGTTATATATAATTACTCATTTATCCTTCCCCAAACATTGTGCAGTAAGCACTACTATTGCTCCCAATTTTAAGTTGAGGAAACACAGATTAAGAAACATGCCCTGTCATACAACTGAGAGAGAAGAGCCAGGCTGTATACCAGCTAGTTTCTCAAAAGCCTGAACTTTTTACTAAAACATTATACATTTAAACATTAAACATCATGCCCCCAAATTTTTAGGAATACATTCATCCTTCCATAACGCTAGGAAGAGTCTTCAAATATACTTACTTTGATATCTCTATGTTGTAAAGGTCTATATTTCCATCTATCAGCTCAATCATTGACTCAGTCAATGCTTATAATTCATATATTATTTTCTTATGTCAGGAAAAATATTCATAGTTTTTGTTTATTTATTTCCTTTGCTTTTAAAATCTTTAAAACTCTACTCCAAAAAGATTTGCATAATTAATCCAGAATGATTTCTCAATTATGCCTCTTTCCCTCCAAAACACATCCCCACAATCATAAACAAACAACATGAAATAAACGTTCCTTAGACAAATGAAAATTTTTTTCTTACCTTTTTTTTCTCTAGGCTGAAGATTGGAATTAAAGTTTTACCTTGGTTAACTCTCCTGCTAAAATTGTATTCTTCTCTACACATACTTGCTGTTTCAGCAGAGTGGTGGGAAGAAGGTCACTTAAGAATAATTTTTATCTAATACCTAATATGAAAATCAGATTTCAAAACTTAAAAAGACTCAGAAAAAAGCTATCAAGTTTAAAGCTTAGAGAAACAAAATCGTTCAATTTTTCATAATGTAGCAGGGAAAAGAGTTAAGAAAACAAGGTGGTTTCCTTATATGACCTATTCTATGGTCGATAGGTATGCAAGTTAATCATTATACCTTTCTCCTGTTAACTATGAGTCTTGAGTAAGAAGACTTGCCAAACTAGATGAAATACACTTCCATAGATATATTATCTGAGATAGATGTTCATCCTGAGAGCAACACTGATGAAACATTTACCATGTTCCAGCCACTATGCCAAGTGGATTATATTAGAAGGAAGCTTAAGATCAATAATTATAAATCTCTGCATTTCACAGAAAATTATGAGACCCAAATAAATTAAGAAGCCCCAGTGATTGGTGAATTCACCACTAAGTTCCTGTAATTAGTTAAATTACCTTGGGCTACTCTCACCATTACAGAGGCTGATAGAATTTAATCTTCATTGGTTCTGAAGAGATCTTTCCCTGGCCTCTTGTCTGGAAGTCATCAGAAAAAGGACAGGGAATTCTCAAGTGAGAATCTAAAATTTGCAGTGAAAGAAGTCATATGTGGCACACTTTATGCAACTTAAAAAAAATTTTTTTTAGTTGTAGATGAACACACCTTCATTTTATTTAAAAAAAAATTAAATATATGTATATTTTTAGTTGTAGGCGGGCACAATACATTTATTTTTATGTGGTGTTGAGGATCGGAAATCAGTGCCTCATGCATACTTGGCAAGCACTCTACCACTTTTAATTAGATGTAAATTTGAACTAAATTATAAAATTACAAAATTCACAGTAAGTACAGAATTGTCCTGAGAAGGACTTACCAAGAATGGCTTAATATCAAAGCCTGTTTCAGTAAATTGTAAAGTTTTCCTATTGTATTTATTTGGTAAGGAAAAAAAAATCCACTAGCTTTTGTCAGGATGTTTTGAATTATGCAAGTTTTTAGTCTTCAGAGATTCATTCTACATACTAACCATGCCCTTTTGTGTACCATAAATCCCTTCTCATTCTCAAATTCTTTCTCAAAATACTAGTGGACTGGGGAATGTAGCTTAGTGGTAGACTACTTGCCCAGACAGAAACGCTGGTTTTGATCTCCAATACTGTGCAAAACAACAGAAACAAAACACACACACACACACACACACACACACACACACACAGCGTGATTTTAACATTTGATGCCAACTTGTGGGCGAAGGAGATACCTTCAAAATGTATTAAAATACACACACCTGAGAACCACCTCCCCACATCCAACCTGACTGAAAGCAGCAAACTTCACCAGAGGCAAGCAATTTCAGGAAGCAATTCCACAGTTCTTACAATCATAAATTTTTGTTTTGTCCTGTTCTGTTTAACAGAAACCAGAACAGGGTTCTTGCCCTGAAAGTTTTCCTGTGGAAAATGACCTGGAAACAGAGTAAGCCTATGGAACGTTCACCTTTCAAGTAAAGAGCAATAACATAGGTGTGGGTCCAGGGATAGCACGACAGGTCTTTGGGCCATTGGGTCTCAGTCTCTGCACAGGAATCAGCATTATGAATCAGGTAATGCTTTGTAGTGGGGGGGCTGTCCTGTGCATTATGCACAGCATCAGTGCTGGCTGCTTCCCATGAAATGCCAATAGCACCCTTCTCACATCATGAAATATAAGTTTACCTCCCGATATTGCCAATAGGTTGAACCACTGTGCAACAGTTAAGTAGGGAGTTCAAGAACTGACAACTTCCCACCTGTACATAAAGATAAAACCCAACTCGATCATTACTTAAAAATGCTAGGGATCAGTCGCCCGAGCTAAAGAAGCCCCCAAACGCGTCTTAGCACGTATCTGAAGACAGAAGAGACATTGCCCATTTCTCTGCCTCCAAAGGATTCTTTATTACAAAGGTTCCATCAAGGACTCGGTAGGGATTTCCTGATAAGACAGCAACACTGGCAGTTTCAGGCTTCCTAATCCCAAAACCACAAATGCACTCGTGACCATGGTCACATCATACCTAACAAAGGCTAACGGCCCCATTGTGTTTACAGCCATTTTCTGATTACTGAAGTGGCTCTGAAAAGAGCCTTTGGGGTAAAGCAGTTGTTGTGTCGCATTCCTTGTGTACCCTTACTTGGAGCTGGTGTACTTGGTGACCGCCTTGGTGCCCTCGGACACGGCGTGCTTGGCCAGCTCCCCGGGCAGCAGCAGGCGCACGGCCGTCTGGATCTCCCGCGACGTGATGGTCGAGCGCTTGTTGTAGTGCGCCAGGCGGGACGCTTCGCCGGCGATGCGCTCGAAGATGTCGTTGACGAACGAGTTCATGATGCCCATGGCCTTGGACGAGATGCCGGTGTCGGGGTGGACCTGCTTCAGCACCTTGTACACGTAAACGGAGTAGCTCTCCTTGCGGCTGCGCTTGCGCTTCTTGCCGTCCTTCTTCTGCACTTTCGTGACAGCCTTCTTCGACCCCTTCTTGGGAGCGGGGGCAGATTTCGCTGGGTCCGGCATTTTTCTCCTCAGGAAGAACCGACGCACTCGGGAAGAGGTAACCGCCGACTACAACAGAACCAGCCGGTTACGCGCTACTTATAGAGCCCGTATGCAAATGAAGACTCCACGACACTGCGTTTTTTATTGGTTAATTTACAAGAGTGTCGTCATAGAGGGGCGGAGTCCATGTAAATAACAGATTCTGGTTGCGCTTCCTTAGTGGTCATTAGAACCAAAGTCTTATTAGCCAATCAAAATATTCCATTTCAAATTAACCAGTGAATTACGTACAGCGGTAGCTCCACTTGTTTGGTTCCCCCCCCCACTAAACCGTGGATTTCTAGAAGGAATTTTTAAAGCACTGGGTAAAGTTAACTGCCCCTTACTTTTTTTTTTTTAGTTGTAGATGGACACAATATCTTTGTCTTTATGTGTTCTAAGGATCGAACCCGGTGCCTCCTACAAGCGAGGTAAGTGCTCTACCACTGAGCCAGAACCCCAGCTGCAGCCCCTTAATTTTGCCGTCTTTCTTTATATACTTAGTTTTTCTTTAACGATCCTCAACTCTTATTTTTAAAGACCGGCAGGGACCCACTTCCGTTTTTAATCACATTACAAACTATAGCTTCATGTAATTTCTAAATGCAAGACAAATCTTGAATTTTACAGCATCTTTTCCCGGCCTGGGCCTCAATACTAACACAGGGCTCCGCGAACCCCTGGCTTTCGCGCCGAAGACGTTCCCTCACGGATAGGGAAAGCTAGGCCAGCCCAAGAACCAGATGAACTCTCCTGTAGCTAAGCGACCAGATTAGAGTGTCGGATTCCTCCATGCCCCGCTGGGGCGTTCCTGACTTTGAGTGTTTAGGCAGAGCGCAGACTGCGGAGGGCGGGTGCAGCTGCTCTTACTGAGAGGTAGGTGGCTCTGAAAAGAGCCTTTGTGCGGACTGCTCAGCACAGGACTTAAGCCCGCTCCCCGCGGATGCGGCGGGCCAGCTGGATGTCCTTGGGCATGATGGTGACGCGCTTGGCGTGGATGGCGCACAGGTTGGTGTCCTCGAACAGCCCCACCAGGTAGGCCTCGCTGGCCTCCTGCAGCGCCATGACGGCCGAGCTCTGGAAGCGCAGGTCGGTCTTGAAGTCCTGCGCGATTTCGCGCACCAGGCGCTGGAACGGCAGCTTGCGGATCAGCAGCTCGGTGGACTTCTGGTAGCGCCGGATCTCGCGCAGCGCCACGGTGCCCGGCCGGTAGCGGTGGGGCTTCTTGACGCCGCCGGTGGCCGGCGCGCTCTTGCGGGCCGCCTTGGTGGCCAGCTGCTTCCGCGGGGCCTTGCCACCGGTCGACTTGCGCGCGGTCTGCTTCGTACGGGCCATGCTTCGCGGGTTTGGGAGGAACGAGGAACCAGCGAAGGCGGTCTTACTTATAGACGAAGCCGCGCCTTGATTGGGCAGGAGGAGAGGAATCTCTAGACTTGTGATCTCATTGGCTAGAACTCGATCCCGCTTGCTGAGACTATTCCCTCATTCCTTCCCCCTTTCTCTACAATTTGTGGACCACGAATATCTTTGTAAAAACCTTTCCTTTCAGTTGATGTAACTTTGTAACAATAATTTATAATGTATTTGCTCACTGTATATGTTAACAGGTTTCAGCTAGTTTCAAGTTGCCTGTTACAAGAACTCTCCTTCTATGACATTTATTTAGCGTTTGTTACTGTGCTCAGCTGTTTAGATGCATTGTATCGTGATGGAAGCTTAACAAAACACTATGTAGTGGAAAGAATGAAAAATTATATTTACCTGACTTAAACTCGACCAAAGCCCTGTTTTATCTTCAGTATGCTGACCAACGTTCTGTTAAAACTTCCGCCTTCCTTTATTTTTTACCTCCTGGAGATTCTGTCTCCTCACCTCCACATCAAAGGCCGATTAGGTCCTGCAGATGAACCGCTTATTGGTCAAAGATGGATGAGACCAGACAGGAGTTTCTCCTTTACAATAGTTTCTAATAGTCAAGTCCTTATCAGCCAGATGACAAGTTAAATGAAGTTTCAAAGCACATAAATTATTCATTGACTACTGAGTTGCTATTTTCTTCAATAAAGATAAAATGTTTCCTAATCCTTAAATGTTTAATATTTTCTGTATTTTCTACAAGGACAGTGAAGATTCTTTGCCCTTTAGTCATTTCATAGGCCTTAAATTGTTCCTGGAAAGTGCGTGTCATAAAACAATGCATAAAGATCTCTATGGATAAGGTAAAAGTTTAGATAATACTTTTAATCGCTTGTTTTATTGAAAAACCATTACATACAAACCTTACAAGAGCTCAAACCTAATAACAAAAGCAGGCCCAAGAGGCTTAAAACTTACCTTAATGGTCAGTATGAATTATCTTCTTAATGATATCAAAGTCAAATGGAAGTGATTTTAAGTGAACATTTCACACAGTGTAAAAACTTGTTAGCTTAATCTCTTCAAGAACCCTTCATAGGTAGCAACCTCTTAGGGAGATCTAAAATACAAAACATACAAAAGTGTGACTGACGTGGATAAATGTTATTCCTGTGGTGGTTTTGTAATGACTTTCATATAGTTAGCACTACTCTGTGTTTTAAAAGTCCTTCTATGTATATGTATTACTTAACCCAACTCTGTGAAATTACAGAGTTCAATGGAGACCTTTAAGAAACATTGTATGGTTTGATTGCATGAGGATAAGAGGGAACTATTTTGAAATACAGAATCCAAGAGTCATGGAATTTATTTCAATTTTTTTTTTTTGGGGGGGGGTGAGGGAGCTGGTTACTGGGGATTAAACTCAGGGGCACTCAACCACTGAGCCACATCCCTAGCCCTATGTTGTATTTTATTTAGAGACAGGGTCTCAATGAGTTGTTTAGCACTTCACTTTTGCTGAGGCTGGCTTTGAACTTGCAGTCTTCCTGTCTCAGCCTCCTGAGCTGCTGGGATAACAGGTGCGCACCACTGTGCCTGGCTTTTATAACATAGAGAATAAGAAAATTTCAAGTCTTCCTCTGGTTTAACTTTTCTAAAAAGCAAACTTATAAGAATTTCTACTTCTACTTCTCAAAAAAAAATCACTTTATAAATTCTAAGGCAACAAATTAAACAAAACAATCAGAATCAGGATCATGAATTTGCAAAAGCCATAGTTAACATTTCTCGGAATACAGATATCTCTGATGTAATTGTTACCTTAGAAATCACCTTCAATGCAGAATTCAGATACATATCAGTTCAATTTCACCTACTCCCCATATTGGCCACTAGAATGATATTCCTATGAAAGTTCTGTTTTTATCAGTAGAGGTTTATGATGAAGATGAACCTCTGCTTTTCTTCAGCTGTGGGAGAGAGAGGATATTTCTCTTTCTGAAATTTCTGAAGTTTCTTTCATCAGATATCCATTATTGGGGATTACATCCAGGGACACTCTACCACTGATCTACATCCCCAGCCTTTGTGTTTTTTTTTTTTTAGGGACAAGGTCTAGGCCCAGTCTGGCCTTGAACTTGCAATATTCCTCCCTCTGTGTTCCCAGTCACTAGGAATTACAGGTATATGCCACCATGCCCAACTTTCATCAGAAATCATAAAGGCCTGTAGTTTGAAGGCTAAGAACTTGAGTTATATTGTTCTTAGCATGGGTTGTATTGGGAGGTGGGAAGGAGACATGAGAAGCTTAAACTTTTTTTTTTTTTAATTTCATTAGTCGTTGATGGACCTCTATTTTATTTACTTATTTATTTATTTATTTATTTATTTATTTATTTATATGCGTTCCACCACTGAGCCACAACCCCAAACTTTCTATACAGGAAATAAGCAAGCAAAAATAATAATCGTTATTATTAGGAATGCAATGTTTTGACTATACCTATTTATTTTTGATACAAAGATAAAGGACTAAGTTAAATAGGTGGTAAGAGAAGACAGTTTATGTTTGGTGTTGGTCTTCGTGTGCCTCCAGGGTTATAAGCATTCCAAGACCATTTGAATCCCAGGTTTGTGGGTCGGTCAGTCCTCATGCTTGATTTGCTTTCATCTTGACGGACCTTCAGCCCTGGACCAAACTGCGAAACCATAGGACTTTAAGCTTCTTTCTTTATTCCACTCTGAAATAAACTCACTCCTTCAGTGCACTGCCATTAGATAGAAATTCACCGACATTCTCCATTCTACGGGTCCTTAACGTTGACTGATCATATTGAACAGCTTAGAATTTATGTTTATGATTACATAACATACCCTACTGGAATATAGTAAAATCAAGTAAATTTTTTTTAGAATCAAGTATTGTTTTCACACAATATTTCAAAGCTATATAAATATAGAGATTTAATTCCACCAGCCATCCTTATGATATGTAAGCTACATATTGGAGAGAGGTTAAGAACCATATATTTTGAGTACTATATTTTTTATTAAAATTGTGGGGGAAGAATAATATATTTCTCCAACTCCCCACAGGTTCTTAGTTGGAACTGACTGCATAACAAAAGAGATCAATAAAAGAAAGACAAATGTTTTGAATTATTGAACATACACAAGGCAGTACCCCAAGATGGGTAACTCAAAACAGTGGTTAGAATTTGGGGTTTGTGTACTTAATAATCGAAAGGGAGAGGAGAGAAAGGACACTTGGGGAAAAGCAAATGACTTTTTAGAAAAATAAATAGCATTTAGGAGAGTAAAGGACACCACATTGTATTCCTGTGACTATGCCTGTTTGGGTGTGGCACCAACTCCTCATCTCTGGAAAATTAGAGTGCCTCATGGGAAAAACTTACAACAACTGAGTTAGAGAAAGCTCAGTGTCTTATTTATTTTTATGTGGTGCCAAAGATCGAACCCAGGGCCTTGCACGTATGAGGCGAGCACTCTACTGCTGAGCCATAACCCCAACCCCAGGAGGCTCTGTTTTTAAACAGATAAGGGATTTCAGGAACTCAAAATGCCTTCAGCTCAAAATTATTCTTGTGCCAAAGTGGCAATTTGGGGGTACATGTTGCCGAAAGGTCAATCTTTGTCCCCTATGCCAATCCATTAACAAGGACACAATTTTAAGAAAAAGGAAAAAGGTTTATTGCTTGGCTAGCAAAGAAGAAACACATGGGACTCCTGTCCCAAAAGCTGTGATTCTGCCCATCATCAGGAACAAGGGGCTTCTATAGAGGTGATTCAGAGAAATTGAGATTAGGGAGGAGAGATCTGGAAGGAGAAGATCAGGGAAAAGATGATCAGGGAGAAGAGGTTGGTAAAAAGAAAAGAAAAATGTAAGTTTCAAAGCCACAAGGGATATAGTCAAAGCATCAAGTGAACCCCTGTTATAGTAGCATATCCTTATCCCCTACAAAAGGGAATATACACATATCTCTTCTTTTGACTAGGGTCCTTTCCCTTTTTGACTCCAAAATTATCATTTCTGTGAGCCATGGCTTATGTTTGTGATGTTGCAATTTGGTAATATCTTTCTTACTAGTATTTAAAAAGTCATTAAATGTAGGAGCTGTTTATTCTATAAATGATTATTGAGCTTATACTGAATACTGAACTACATGTCAGTTTACAAAGAGAAAATGAAAATCACTTCCAGGAAGGAACACAAAGTCAAGAGGGAAGTATGAAAGATAAAAAGAGATGTAAAATAATGTGATGTTCTGTAGGAGATGCCAACAGGTCAGAAAAGAGCAAGTTTCTCTGCCTAGAAGCAGTCAAGGGAGAAGGGATCTATTGTGAATACTAGGGTGTTGATTAGGCACATAGGCATGAGGATGCAGTGATACATCCATTCAGTGGACAAAAGAACCACCATTATTAGGAGGATAAGTCCCCTCAACCCCCTAAGAATCATACCTTGGAGGTTTTGAATTGAAACATGCTGATTTTTGGAGATTTTCAGCTTTGGGCTTAAAATGACTGAATCTATATGTCTGGAGCCTAGAAGTCTGGCTAAAAAACAAACAAACAAACAAAAACACTAAGATTTATCAGAATATAGAAAGTAGTTAGAACCAAGAGATGGAAACAGAGCATCTGACTTTTAATAAGAAAAGTTAATCATAAACATTTTTTGGGAAAAAAAAAAAAAAAGATCTTTATGGTGCAGAAACAAAACATTTTCTCCTGGATTGTCCTACAGAGGGCCATAGTAATGAACTAAGAACTCCAATCAATTTCTTAGGGCAGTTTCTGGTAAAGCACAAGTCTCCTTGCAAAACCGAATTCAGCAAACTGTGGTAGCTCCCGGGGTGAGGGGGTGGGTGTCTCAACCTGGACAGTTTGGATGCTAAACTGACTGAAAATAAGGGTTGAATTCAGAGGATCTGTAAGTAGAGGTGGGTGTGGAGACTACCTCTCAGTCTCCTCTGCTTTTCCTATGCTCTGCAGAGCTTTGGACGACAGTGCGTTGGGGTTCACCAGCCCCCAAGAGAAGGCTTGGCAGTATCCTAAGGCCAGTTTTCCTAGGACCTGATTCCTGGTTGGATTGAAATATTGTGCCTCCACCAACAAAACAGTGCACAGACTGATTGCAGCGACCTTCTCCCTCCCCTCGTCCTTCCACACATATCCCCAAGGCCGCTGCCCTGGAGTCTTGTCCACCAAGTTTCTGGAACCGTCCTGGCTGCAGTTTTGTGTAGCCAGAGGGTTTGGGACTATGGTTAAAACGGAATCCGGCGCTGCCCTTTTCCCTTCTCAGCTCTGAAACCCATCTGCTCTTCCTCCAGTCTTCTCCCACCAGATCTTTCCACTTAAACCCGACTTAATGCCTTCCAGAAATCCAGGCAGAAAAAGGAAGCGTAAAGACTGCGGAATCCGGAAGCTTGGTGCTGGGACCCGCTCTTTCCCGGGAGCTACGGAATGTCGCTTTAAACAACAACAAATAAAACCCCCAAAGTGGAGGGTCCGGTAGAGGGCGGAGGACAGAGGAACAACAAAAGAGCGCGAGCTCTCCGGAGAGCGGAACGATTGGAATCTTCCCGCCGGCGCGCTTTCGGTTTTCAATCTGGTCCGCAGCTCTCCTATAACCACGCAGGCCGCGGCCCCCCCAAGGACAGTTCTCCGAGCGCATCCGCCATGTCTGGGAGAGGGAAGGGCGGCAAGGGCCTGGGCAAGGGCGGCGCCAAGCGCCACCGTAAGGTCCTGCGCGACAACATCCAGGGCATCACCAAGCCCGCCATCCGGCGGCTGGCCCGGCGCGGCGGCGTCAAGCGCATCTCCGGGCTCATCTACGAGGAGACCCGCGGCGTGCTCAAGGTGTTCCTGGAGAACGTGATCCGCGACGCCGTCACCTACACGGAGCACGCCAAGCGCAAGACGGTCACCGCCATGGACGTGGTCTACGCGCTCAAGCGCCAGGGCCGCACCCTCTACGGCTTCGGGGGGTGACCTGCCGCCGCCTCCGCTCCAGCTCCAAAGGCCCTTCTTAGGGCCAACCACGTACTCCACAAAGAGTTGGGCACTTGAGTGTCAGGCGATGAAGCCGGGAGGTGATCCTGTGGGTCCCCATCTGTACTGACAGGCAGGTACCGTTGCCAGGGGAGAAAGTGAAGCCCCAGGGCCCGGCTGACAGCCAAGTGGCTTTCCATTTGTGGGTATTTTTGAATGCTATTTTTTTCATCGAGCCGTGCTTTAGGCCTAAGCACTACTTTGGAAGTTTTTAAGTAGTTTTGTCATCTCGGTTCGGCGCTATCCTGATTATTATGGCTGTGGGGAGTAGGACCGACCCTGTGATTCTAGTCCAAGGCTGGCCTGTGAGCTTTAGCTATCTTTGGGGCTTTCATTTTCCACCACTTTTCAAAAAGGGAGGGGGTCAGGTCCTTTAGTTCACATTGTGTATAGTTTTTTTGTGACATGACATGAAACAATTGATTTCTAGTGTGACATTGAAGGTATACAGAAAGCTGAGCAAACTTATTGAAAGCACTCTTAAACAGGTAACTCAGGTATGTGACTTGTTAGAACCTGTTTTATTTAGCTTAGAATGGGGGCATCTGCAGGAACATGCTCACCATCAATATAGAAGGTGCAGTTTAATTTTGACAAAGCAAAACCAAAAAATGATTGTGTCTGTGGAGCAAAGTACAGTAAGCCATTCTCTATACTTCCCGTTTGTCCTAAACTGTCCTGATTTGTATTGAACATTGCAGCTATTAACATTTGCATGTAAAGTTCTGGGTTGTGTGTGTGTGTGTGTTTGCATTATGGACTTATGATTTTACAGCAAAAATTAGCCTATGTATGTAATTTAGAGAATTCTGTAAGAACCCAAAAGATAATCACTTTATTAGCTGCTCTTAGCAACAAACACTTGAGGGTTAACTACGTTTAATACATAGTGCTTCACAATGGAGATATCAGCAAAGTAAGGGATACAAGATTTGCCCTTCAGGAACTTAACAGGGGAAAAAAGAAATACACAATACATAAATATATACATACTTATATAACATAAGAAGTCTAGTAGTACAAGAAGCATATATTCACTATGATGAGGAATATAGACAATAATAACTATAGAAATCCTAATGCTATAGAAGTCACTTGGTGCAGGCAAATTGGGGAAAGCTTGAACATGATGGTGGTTGGGTTGGGGGGTATTCAATCTTTGAAAAAAGCAGAATGCCTGGCATTGTACTGGAGAAGACAGTAAATGGGTGGGGAGGGAGTGGCAAAAATAACATTTTCCAGCTAAGAAATAAAAGGCTTCTATGATCAAGAGTTCTTGCTTTTCCTTTTAGAATCTCACCAACAGCAGGGTGCACACGGGCATAGTGGTGCATGCTTGTAATCCCAGCGGCTTGAGAGGCTGAGGCAGGAGGATTTCGAGTTCAAAGCCAACCTCAGCAAAATTGAGGCACTAAGCAACTCAGTGACGCTGTGTCTAAATACAATACAAAATAGGGCTGGGGATGTGGCTCAGTGGTTGAGTGCCCTTGAGTTCAATAAAAAAATCTCACCACCAATAACTAACTTATAGAATTTGTTTCAAACATCACTGTGATTTTTTTTTTTTTTACTTTAAAGGCAATGCAGATGAATACATAAAATCCTAAGATGCTCTAAAATAGTAAATAGCATTATGAAGAGAAATCAAAGAATAAAAAAGGGGAGGGGAGCAGAATCATGTCTATTGTTTAAGTCAGTGGTTCAAAAAGTATAGTCTCTAACTTACCAACATAGATGAACTGGGAACCTTTAGAAATACAAAATCCTTGGCCCCAACCCCACAACTATTGAATGAAAAACCCTGGGGCAGAGTAATTTGTGTTTTAATAAGCTATGCATTCCAGGTGATTTTGATATACATTAGCAGTTTTTCTTTAAAACATGAGTCTGAATGTTGTCCCAATTTGTTTAATGTTAAATTTTGCTTTCTTTGATGAAAAAGCAAGTGGATGATCCTAACAAATTTTATGTAGTAAAAAACATTATAGGAGAGCTAAAGTAAAATAGCCTTATTTGCCAAAACACTCGGAGAACACATAAAAGATGTATGAATGAAAAAATAGTGAGCTTGTTTTACTATTACTGATTTATACTTTCAATTATACGGAATTGAATTTTATAATCAATAGATTTTTTTTTTCTTCTCTAACATCCAGTTTTTTTAAAAGGCACTTTAATGCTGAGCTACATTCCCAGTCCTTTTTCTGTGGGTATTTTGAGACAGGGTCTCATTAAGTTGCTGATAACTCCTCCTTCCTCAGCCTCCCAAATCGCTTGGATTATGGGCATGTACCACTATGCCTGAGCCACTATACATCTTTTTATACACCTTTAAAATAATTTTAATAGTGACCTCAGCTTCCACCTTATCAGTTCCACTAATGACAACTGATACATGGCCATGACTGAATCCTGTTAGCTGTGTCAAGCCCCTGAATATTGCCAAAATACAGAACATGCAATTATGCATCTTTTTACTTTTTAGCTTTTTCTTTTCTTAACCATCTGTAATAGCCAGGAATATAGTGCTATGTTTTAATCATCTGTAACAGAAACATAAATCTATGTATAATGTATTTGGTTTGCTAACAAAATAATTTCCACCAGAGTGCTCTCTGTGAGCCAGCCTGTGCGTGCTCTTTCCCTTCCTGGGGGTATTCAGAATTTCCACCAAAATATACACATACAAATGATTATGGAGTTCCTTCTGTGGGACTGCTTTCTTTTATTTATTTTTTTAGTTGTAGATTGACTCAATGCCTTTGTTTTTATGTGGTGCTAGGATTGAACTCAGTGCCTCACACTCGCAAGGCAAGTGCTCTACCACTGAGCTACAACTCCTTTACAGTGGTCATAGTGGCACTTGAATGTTCCACTTATTAATCAAATTTTACTATTCCAGTTTGACGTCTTACTTTCCCTTTCTGGATTCTCTCCTCTGACTAGCAGCAGTATCCTCCCAGACACCCAGACTAGATAGAAACTCTGAGTCATCTTTCACTGTTTTTAGTTTATTCCCTTGAAATTTCTCACTCTCTACTTTACATTCTAGCTAGTGTATTTATTACTCTACTTGAACCAAAAAAAAAAAAAAAAGAAGTAAACTAAACTGGCATTTATGCAGATATATATATATATATATATATATATATATATATATATATATATGAATGATTAATGGGTGTGGTTTTTGCTGTCTCCATTGAACATTCTAAATTGTTGACTTTCTTATAATTAACCTGAATATAATCTCCCCCCCCCAAAAAAAAAATCAGATTGTTGTCTGGATTATGTAAATCATGACAAATCTGTTTTGCCAAAGTTGAATTTTCTTATCTTTAATGTTACTGAGAAATCCTGCCTTTCTCATAGGAATATTTAAGGATCAAATGAAAAGATGTGTGTGGAAAAAATTGAGGTGAGGCATGAAGTGACCTAGAAACCAAAGGACATGTATTTATTGCCTAGTTTACCCAGTCTAATTCTTACATGCTGCATAATCACTGGGAGAGGGAGAGAGCCACTAGAGCTTAAGAATTTAGAGAACAAAGGAGACAATTGGGTGAAGACGGGGTATGAACAGGGTGGCAGCATTAGACTGTTAGGATTAGAATAAATATGCATAGAGTTGTTATGAAGAATCCAACAGAATCCCAGCAGACTTGATTCAGAGCCTCAAAACACCACAAGGTAAATATCACCCCCATTTTAAAAAGGAAGAAACTAATGTTTATGTGGGTTAAATAACTTAGCATTCTCTGATATACCCTGATGATCTGACTTTTACTAAAATATTTGTCTAAGGTTTACAAATCAAAGATATGAGAATCTATTAATAAACTTGTGATATGGATTTAACAGAACTATAAAATATTGATAAAAAGGACCTAAGAAATCATCTGGTCCAATTTTCCTCTGGTTCAGGATAAAACTCTTCTCTACCTCCTGTCACCATCAGATCCCTAAGTGGTGCAGGTTGTTCCCCAGAGGCCTGTCCTTGGACTATTTCTTATGCAGTTACTAGTTGATGGTTCCATCCCTTGTGTCCCGAGTTGAACTCTTTAGCAACTCCCCCTTCCAGACTGCCCATCCTTCTCAGGCTTCTTCCCAGTCACTCAGACAGGGGAGTCTGGAGTCATCTTTGACTACTTTTTGCTCCAACAACTCCTTTCCGCCCTTTGCCCCATCCAGGTTCAGGCAAACTTCAACATGCAATAAATCAGGTTTTCCTTTCCTTTTTTGTGGCTGGTCCCTTGTTCTCATGTTTTCTGATAAATCTGTGTGAGAATTTATTTTGGATAAATACCCAGTAGCTGAATTTCTGGTTCCAGGCTTAAGAAGTACCAGGGTGCCTTTCAGAATGACTTCCCTAGTCCACATTTGTGTGGGCTCTCTCTCGTCCAGTGAGGAGGTCCACAGAACAGGGCAGAGGAGAGTGTGGCTGCGGAGTTGCTAATCAAGACCTCTGGAGTCCAAGCAGGAAGCAGGTTTGATTTTATTGTGCAGTTACCATGTATATTTACTCAGGCAGCCACCAATACAAGTCCTGGCCAACTGTCCCTGCAGCGACCAATCGAGGAGTGGGCCTTGGACCTAGTGCAGGGACTTCGCCTGTGGGGTAAGCGGTCTGCCACACATGCCTAGCACACGGGAGTGGTTTGCCGCTCAGATGCCCTTAATGTTTGCCACATTTGCAGTACTTCATGCACTTGTCCTCACACACGTTCCACAAGCAAGATGCCAAGCATCTAAGTCCTCTGTCTTGGCCAGCCCTTGGCATTATGAAACTTTCTAATATTTGCTGCACTATTTAGTATAAATATCATTATTGTTTTAACTTGCCTTTCTCTGTTAATTTTATGACCATCTCAATGTATATGTTAGATTTTGTGCTTTCTCTTCTATAATCCACCTGCTGTTTATATCCTTTCTCCTGTACTACTTACTGAGTAAAACCTATCCCCTTCCCGGTTTAGCATCAAGACTCTAAATAAGCTGGCCTCCAAGTCCCCACCACTGAAAATTCATTTCTTATTACTGGTCTTGGCCTGGCTTGTGGACTTCTCACCTCTCATAGTTCTCTTTTATCTTTCTGGTTTTTCTGCCTCCACTAGACTTCCCCAAAGTTTTCTTATAAGAAGGGCTCCAAAATTGATGTTTCCCTCTGAACTCTAGATAATCCAGTCCTTCTTCAGCACTTACCAGCTTGCCATCAATTAGTACATGTCGTCTCCTCATAGCGGCCAAAGATCTGGTTCCCATTTCTGTAAACTTATATGTCTTCCAGGGTGAAGAGATGCTGGAATTGCTACTGAACAAAACAATTTTAATCTGAGTGATGATTTCACTTTGTTCTTGGCAATTTTCTCTAGTGCAGTGATTTATAGTTGCAAACTGTAACCATTAGCAGGTGAGAAAATCTATTTAAAAGATGGGAGTCAGCATTTTTTTGGCCCATTAAACAGAATAGGACTGAAAATATCAAAGTGTGGCAGGAAAAAATAAAAGCATTTCATACAACTTGTTCCAATTTTAGGTGTGTATGAATATGCAATATATAGTAATATAAAATGTATCTTGCTGTAATTTTCAGTCAGCAGAAATCAGTTACTATAAGATATACAATATCTGTAATTCTTGCACATATAGTTTTCTGAAGCAGTTAGTCAAATGAAATTTTTAAAAAGCAAATCACAAGACCCAGGTTCAAGTTCTACCTCTGCCATCTTTTTAGCTTTGTGATTCACATTCTCTTCCTTGCCACATTGGTTTCTTCTTCTAGTCAACAGAATGAAAAAAATAAAAATTAAAAAAAGGCTTCCTCTCTCTGAGTTATTGTGAAGCCAAACAAGAGAAAGTGAGTGAAAGATGAGTTATAAGCCACCTGGGAAACCAGGTCTCCTTATATCTTATATCTCCTTATATGTGGTCTACAAGAGACTGGTCATATGTTCAAAAGTATTCACCAATTTTAAAAATCATTAATTTTTATTTTGTATCAGGAATTGAACCCAGAGATGCTTAACCACTAGCACCACATCCCCAGCCATTTTTATTTATTGACAGGGTCTTCTTAAGTGACTTAGAGCCTCACTAAATTGCTGAAGCTGGCCTCAAACTTGTGATCCTCCTGCTTCAGCCTTCCAAGTTGCTGGTATTACAGGCGTCTACTACCATACCTGGCAACACCAATTGTTTTTATGTCATTCCTTTATTTCATGACATGATGGCAATTTAGAGTTATATTAATTCATATTGATGTCACCAATATTAATATCATCAATGTTGATTATGCCATCAGTACCTATTTATTGAAACGTGGAGCTGTTCTACGCCATTTATGTAAACTGTAATCATCCTTTTTATCCTCACTGCAATTCTGTGGGTGCAAATATTATCCTGTTTTACAATGAAGAAACTCAGGATCCAAGACTTTTCTCTTTGGAAGCTTTTTCTGAACTCAGTGGGTCTCAGGTCTCAATTCATAGCAGTGAAGTCCTCAAGCTTGTTTCTCGACCCCTTTCTCTACTTTGCAATCTGTTTCGGCAGACTTGAAAGATTCCCTTCAATGACAGGAACACAAAATATTAATCTATTCCTGACTGCATATCAACAATGCCACTGTTTTCCTTTGAGATTCAGTCAGTGAGACGTCCCAGTTTGAGAGGTGCCCAGACCAATGAGTTAAAGCAGTGCCGTCATGGTGGCAGGTAGAGGACATAGAGGACTGGCACTGACATTCCTAGTGTCTGCTCAGCCACTCCTGAGACACTGAGTACAAAGGTGTGCCCAAGCCAGCCTTGAAAGACTACTTCTTTAAATTCAAGAATACAGACCCTATCTGTAGTCCTACGCAGAACTTGCTGTGATTCTGAAGCACACACGTGTGCCAATTCATCTCAGAGAAAGCTACAGTGAGGCCTCACACTGCTCTCCCCTTCTGACATGTCAGACAAAATAGCGGTTTTACTAAATTATGTTTCTCTGATGTTTCTTCTCCCCCCTGTTGTACCTCACTGTCTCTGTGATGATTGCTTTTAACATGTCCACTGTTCTGAGGCAAAAGAAAAAATATAAGGCCTGGCTTCTTCCAGGTGCAAATAACAGGGAGGTTAAGAAGAGGTGTCATCTCTTTAAACCTTAAAAAGAAATTTCATGCTAATGTCTAGGTGGATGGATTCAAGACTAGTGGACCTTGAAACTTATTTTAAAAACATGAATAAGCTAATTTTTAAAATACCCTCAAAAAACAAAGTGTCACATAAGACCTACACAGCTATCTGCAAGAGGCCTGTGTAGAGAGGATTCTGCCAGCCCCCCATCCTCATACTCACACCACGATGTGGATTCCCACTTCCCAAATGTCCAGGAATCATCACTAAGACTGATGAAGCCTTTCCTAAGGCAAGGAAATAATCCAGCCTACTAATCCAGCCTACGTGGGTACCCTGTTCTGCCGATTTTATCTCACAAAAACTTGAGTTTCGGACTACTCTTCTACACTTGGTAAATCTCTTAAAAACCTGAAATTGGGTAATCAGATATCTCTGAAGAAAACAACTAATGGAATTACCAAGTCCAGAGAATTTAGATACATGTCAGCTTTCAGAACTAAGATCGTTTAGTGGACATGGCCAGGGACTCTTTCAGTTAAGCAAGCCTCACAAGTGACTTGAGCTAGGTCATAAACATTGCTAATCCGGTATTGGCTTACAAGTAGCTTTTATCACCAGTTTCCCCAACTCCAGCGACATAAGTCTGGAAAGAGCTTAGGGGCGACTTCCCAGAGAGGACAGGGAGGACATTTCCGGCGGGTCGGGTGGGGCCGAGAGGTCGCAGGCGACGGCCAGGGCAGCCCAGCCCAAGCCGGCCCTGCGGACCGCGAATCCCTAGCGTCCCCTACTGACTCAACCGCGGGATAAGGTCGCTCGTGCCCCTCCTCCCGCCCTGGGCGACACTATCGCCGAAGGCTGCCGGTTGCTAAGAGGGTTCCCGGGAGAGGCGAACCGAGGGGAGCGTTAGGCTGCGACCGTCCTAGGGCGGTGCGCGCCGCACAAGAAATGAACCGGGCGTGCGGTAAGGCTGGCAGGGCTCTCCGCCCGCTGTGCGACCTTCCCCTTCCCTTCCCTCCCACCCCCTCGCCCCGGAGGACGACACCACCGCCTGGAGAGCGGAGGAAGAGCGGTGCAGCTCCTTCCGAGTGCCGCCGTGGGTGGCTCTGAAAAGAGCCTTTGGATGCGATGGAACCTAGAGCCGGGCGAGCGCCTTACTTCTTAAGCTCGCTCCCCGCGGATGCGGCGGGCCAGCTGGATGTCCTTGGGCATGATGGTGACGCGCTTGGCGTGGATGGCGCACAGGTTGGTGTCCTCGAACAGACCCACCAGGTAGGCCTCGCTGGCCTCCTGCAGCGCCATGACGGCCGAGCTCTGGAAGCGCAGGTCGGTCTTGAAGTCCTGCGCGATCTCGCGCACCAGCCGCTGGAACGGCAGCTTGCGGATCAGCAGCTCGGTGGACTTCTGGTAGCGCCGGATCTCGCGCAGCGCCACGGTGCCCGGCCGGTAGCGGTGGGGCTTCTTGACGCCGCCGGTGGCCGGCGCGCTCTTGCGGGCCGCCTTGGTGGCCAGCTGCTTCCGCGGGGCCTTGCCACCGGTCGACTTGCGCGCGGTCTGCTTCGTACGGGCCATGGCGGACGGAGGCACTAGCTCTCCGGCGCGGCGGCACGGACAGTGACCTGCTGCCCGCCCGCCGCCGCAGTCTTTATAGGCACAGTCTTTTCCCGATTGGGCGGGGAGAAATTGAAAAGTCCCGCGCAGGCCGTCCGTTGGCTGTGACGTCACCCGCACCAGCCTCCGCGGTTGGCTCGGGCGGGATCCTGCCTCCCCGAGCGCCCCCCGCCCCCTCCGCGGCCTCGCCTCCCCCGTCCGCTCTGCCCGCGCTCTGCCCACCTCGTCTTCTTTCCCTCGCTCTCGCTGCGTGGACGTCGTCTTGGGCCGCTGCTCCGTCCGTCCGATGGTTCCTTCCCTCTTCGGCCCTTCGTCCCCTTGGAGCACGCTGCCCGCGACGCCCTCCTCCTGACGCTTTGTGGCTCCCCAGTCGAGCCTCAACTTTTACTTGACCCCCGTCCCCGAACGCCTAGTCCCGCCTCCCTCCCGCTCCCGGGTGGCTTCGGGGCGGATCGTTCGTGCTTCTCGGGTGGGAGGGTTGTGTCCTCTCCGGGGCGCCAGATTCCGCCTCTGGAGGCCTAGGCGGGTAGCTCCGTCGCTACTTAGAAGTCAACGAGGCCAGCTCAGTCAGGAGGCCAAGGCGACCCAGGCCCGCCGCGCTCGCCTGCAGCGGACAGGGCTTGCGCTGGTGACTACGTCCCCCTAGGGACTACCGGGCCTCCTTTGGGGGACGGGGGTCCCTCAAGAGCCCGAGAGAACGTGTGGGGTGCGGAGTGGTGTCACATACTGGTGGGAGCCACCGCCGCGGCGTTAGCGTTACTGACCCGGGCTGCCCGCGGAGCGCAGTGTCCGGTCCCCGCCGTGCTGGGCTCCAAGATTCACGGCCCACCCGGCAAGGGCCGGCAGAGGTTACAGGCTCAAGCCTCGGAGAGAACGGCCGGGAGCACAAGGCGAAGGGCTCTCCCCGCGCTCGCCGGCCGGCCGTCGGTCCCCTCCGGGTCCACCGCTGACTACGCGGCGGGGGCGGTTACTGTAACAACTCCTTTCACTTGAGGGTGTGGGTGGCTCTGAAAAGAGCCTTTGATTTCACAGGCACCCCCTTCGGGGCGCGCGGGCTGGAGTGGGCGGCTACCGGACGCCTGCCCCACTTCACTTCCCCTTTGCCTTGTGGTGACTCTCCGTCTTCTTCGGGAGCAACACGGCCTGGATGTTGGGCAGGACGCCGCCCTGGGCGATGGTCACTTTGCCCAGCAGCTTGTTCAGCTCCTCGTCGTTGCGGATGGCCAGCTGGAGGTGGCGGGGGATGATGCGCGTCTTCTTGTTGTCGCGGGCCGCGTTGCCAGCCAGCTCCAGGATCTCGGCGGTCAGGTACTCGAGCACCGCCGCCATGTAGACGGGCGCGCCGGCCCCCACCCGCTCGGCGTAGTTGCCCTTGCGCAGCAGGCGGTGAACCCGGCCCACCGGGAACTGGAGGCCAGCGCGCGAAGAGCGCGACTTGGCCTTGGCGCGGGCCTTGCCTCCCTGCTTGCCACGGCCGGACATGACAGCGACAGTGGACACAACCACCTCCCGCCTGGCCACCCGGAAAGTCGCGGCAAACGGCGCCGCTTCACCCTTTTATAGGCAGAACGGCGATTGTCCATGGTGTGCTCTCATTGGCCAAAGCACAGTTTTGCCCCGATGACCAATAGGAGAGCTCAGGCAGAATCCATTCATTTACATAATCTCGTCTCCCTCGCCTCCGCGCCCCCGAAAACCCGCGAATCACAGCGTGGCGCGATCGCGACCTTAATTTGCGTACCGCCGCTATAAGTACGCGGTCGCTTCCGGTGCGCCCCTGCGCTCCTCCCGCGCTGCGCTTCTCCTGTAGCGATAGCCTTCCCGGTCTCCAGCTGCCCGCGCTTCTTGCCTCTTGCTTCTCGCCTCTTGCTTCTCGCCATGCCCGAGCCGGCCAAGTCCGCTCCGGCCCCCAAGAAGGGCTCCAAGAAAGCCGTCACCAAGGCCCAGAAGAAGGACGGCAAGAAGCGCAAGCGCAGCCGCAAGGAGAGCTACTCCATCTACGTGTACAAGGTGCTGAAGCAGGTCCACCCCGACACCGGCATCTCGTCCAAGGCCATGGGCATCATGAACTCGTTCGTCAACGACATCTTCGAGCGCATCGCCGGCGAAGCGTCCCGCCTGGCGCACTACAACAAGCGCTCGACCATCACGTCGCGGGAGATCCAGACGGCCGTGCGCCTGCTGCTGCCCGGGGAGCTGGCCAAGCACGCCGTGTCCGAGGGCACCAAGGCGGTCACCAAGTACACCAGCTCCAAGTGAGTCCCCGCCGGGGACGCGCTGGCTTCCAAAGGCTCTTTTCAGAGCCACCCACCTTCTCTGTGAAAGAAGCTGTTTTTCCGCTGTTGCTTACACCATTACCCCATTCACCTGCATCTGCACGACAAAGGTAGAAGGGCCCTGTGGAACCGTAATTGACAGTGTGTGCGTGTTTTACACACAGATGCCTTTTCCAACGAGAATAGTTTTTGATGCTTACTGGTCACAGACCAATGTTGGTGTACTTGAGGAAAGGGGGAGGGTTTTAAGCAGTGCTTTTAAGCAGTTACACTGGGGCAGTACTAGGATATAGTCATTTTTTCTTGGTTCAGAAGCTGATGTAAAGGTATACAGCAATAGTTGGATGACGCTCCATCACTTTTGAACTTTGGGATCCCTTTTTTGAGGGGTGGGTCCCGGGGATTTAATTCGGGGCACTCAACCACTGAGCCACATCCCCAGCCCTATTTAGTTTTATTTAGAGATAGTTTCACTTGCTGAAGTTGGCTTTGAACTCGTGATCCTCCTGCCTCAGTCTATCCAGCTGCTGGCATTACAGGCTTGCTGCTAGCTTCATTTTCAGAGCACCCAATATAGCATAGGTCTTCTTTATATATATATATATATATATATATATATATATATATATATATATATATATATATATATATATATTTTAAAGTACACTTAAAAAGCAGCCACATAAGAACAAAAGATGAAGTTCTGAAATAAAGGTATAAAACTGTTAAACATACTGCAACAGTGGCCTATATCCATCCTCCTGCTTTTGCTCATTTTTTTCTTATGCATCTACATAAAATCTCAAATGTTATCTATCTTCAGGCATGATATACTTCCTCTCTGCCCATCAAACTAAAAACAGATAATTTATTTCCTAGTTATTGTGCAAAATCCACATACCTTTACTGAAAAAACAAAAACCAAAAAAATTCCAAAGCTTAGTCCTCAGGAAATACTTCCTGCCTTTGCTTGTGCCTTAGCTTTTTTTTTTTTTTCCTCCATTGCTAGGGACTGAAGGCACTACCCCCAGCATGCTCCAGGGGTGGTACCCCCAGTCCTAGATTGTGCCTTATGTGGCTTTCCTGAGTAACAAGACAGATTGCCAAAGCCTCAAAATTTTGGTGAAAGCAAGGACATGGGAGTGAGGAGGAAAGGCTATAAGGATAGTTTGAGCTCTCAGAGTAGGAATATAAATTCATTTTAAGAGAGACTCACAGGATTTGGGGTTAAAATCTAATTATATATGGAGAAGATAGTGATCAACTTTTAGGTCTGGGGACACAGAATATGGGTAAGATAACAAAAAAGAGTTAATCTTGAAAGAGGGGGAGAGAGACTCAATGCAATTATATAATCCCATCACCAAAATTCATACTTACAGTTGTGAAAGTAAAACTAACCTTTGGTTAAGACTCTGTTAAGAATATTTGTGCACATCATTTCCCACAATAAGGGAGAAAAGGAGGGGGAAAAGCCAAAACACTTTTCATACTGACATAGGACATGTTAGGAATACAGCAGTAAACAGAGTAGAAAAAAGTTTATCTCCATAGGACTACATTCCAGTTGATGGATAAATGAAAATAAGCAAAGAAATGTATAATAGTCAAAGGGTGATATGTACCATGAAGTAAAAGAGAATATGAAATGGAATGGATGTTATGGAGCTGGGGCCTTCTGAGAAACTGAGGAAGACCCCCTCTTCAAACCCTGATTCGTTCGATCAAGTCAGAAAGACTTCAGGAGTAACAGAAATGAGTTTGTTAAAGAGGTAGGAAAAGAAAGGGACACTCCCAAGGGACAGAGTTGGTCCTTTCAGAGAGGAGAGGGACAACATGCCTCTCCTGCACATTTTATTGGGGATCCCAGAGAAGTTTCCAGAGAGTTCTACCCAAGTCCACTTGACTTTTGACTGATATCAGGGTGACATCAGACTTTCAAGTATCCACTGTCATGGCAGTTTTAGGTCACCTTGGCCCATGCTGAATGGTTCTTATTGGATTCTGAAACATACATTCTGATGGGTTTTATGGTTAGGAAAAACTATTCTTATCTCCCCGAGTTTCAGGATCTGGTCACAAAAGTCTTCCCTTCAGGATAACTTGGGTTCCTCTTATCAATATTATTTGGGGCCTGCATTTCTCCTACAGTGAACAGGTAGTTTGCTGAAGAATGTGACATACCCTATCCACTTAGGCCAGACAGGACTACAGACAAATTGCTTTTCGGAAAAGAAAGCATGTAGGGAGCTGTTGCAGACCAGCCATGGGCTGTGTGTGTGAGCTATGAGCATTTGAGCACATGAAGGTGAAAGGAAAGTGACCACAACACTCGGAGCAACCAAAAGATCTTTATTGCAGCAGTGCAACAAAGAGAAAGGAAAGAAGGAGAGAGAGAGAGAGAGAGAAAAGAGAAGAGATGAACAGGGAGAGAGCAAGAGAGAGACAGAGAGCGCGCGTAAGAAAGATAAAGAGCAAGAGAGAGAGCAAGAGAGAGGGGGGCCTGGCAGGAGGGAGTTTTTATAGCCCAAATCTAATGGGGCCTCTGGGTCTGCAAGCTGCCTTGTTGGCCCAAGGGGGGGTTAAGTGTTCAGCCTTGAGCAGGGTTGAATGTTCAGACTTGAGGCAAACAGGTGATAAAGGACCAGATAGAGGGGGTTTGAGTGCGTGGGCTATCTTGCAGCCAACATCTGCTCAGCCTGCCCTGCAGACAACACAGTTCAGCCTGCTCTGTACCCAACAGAAGGGACTCGGCTGACATTGCTGCTCTGACTGGGCTGTGTGATGTATGTGTCCTTTTCCCTGGTTCTGAGATGGGTGTGGCTTTTCCAGATGTCAATCCGCTAACTGCAGACATCACCAAGCAACCCCCTGAAACCCAAACCCTTGCCTTATTTGGATTGAACTTTCTTGAGTGTCTTTCCTCCAAATAAATAGGGCTTCAGGCATGTTCTCTTTTTTGCCTGCCTCTCTTGCCTCCCTTGTGGGCAAAGGAGCCATCACTGAACCCCAAGAAAAAGGTACTTTTTGTGTTTGTGTGATTATTTACTGCCAGCCCAATTCACCTGGAGTGACCCTGACTGATTTATTCATGTGTTGCGACAGGGAACAGCACAGTGGACCCATTTTATGGAATTATTCTCTTAACCTCATGTTCCCAGTATCCTCATCTGTCTATTCCCTAAATGGGAATAGCAAGTCTGATCAGTTAGTATCTGAGAAGAGACCCAAGAAGAGAGTTGAGAAATTGATGTGACTCCATTTTTGAGAAACCAGCCTCTACCTCAGAGCAAAGCCTGTCCAAGGAAGGGGGCGTGACCCTTGCCCTAGGAAAAATCCACAGAGCACTCTTAGGCACATACCCACCCTGCTGAGTTGTTTGTAAATAACAGGAGAGATCTGCAGCACCAGGTGTCCCTGACTCAGTCAGGCTAGGTGAGGGCCCATAGCAGCCCCCTAGCAACTGCCACAGCGGGGGGGGGGGGGGGGGGGGGGTGTTGACGAACAACTTGTGTAGATTGATACAGCAGGAGTGGAAGCCCTTTATTGCAGGACAGGAGCAGTATTTATACATTCCACACAGCTTATCTAGTTAACATAAACTCGATACAGCAGTCAACCAATCAGGAATCTCCACACTTAATGGCTCACTTTTGTTACTTCTCAAACCACTCCCTCTGGCATTTTGCCAGGCACCATCCAGACTTGTTTATGAACTCTAACATTCCCCTGGCAAAATGCCAGGTGTTATTTTGACTTGTTTACAGACTCTAACAAGCAACCACCAATCAGCATGAGACAGGGAAATACCTGGGATGCCAGATGACCCCCCAGCCTAGGAGGCCTCTAAGTTGCCTTATAAGCTTGAGGTAGAGGTTATTGTCCTATAGGGGTTATTCTTTCTGGTCCTAGATTGTGGGTTCCTTAAGACAGTCATAATCCTAAATATTGAACTTGTTTTTGGCACAATTGAGCTTTTTTCTTTGAGACTTTATAACCCTTATCAGCTAAGAAGTTTCAAAGCTCTTTAGTGGCTTCTTGATATTCCTTTTGAGTGGAGGCACATAAAAGTATGTCATCTACATATTGCAGGACAGTCAAAGATGTGTATCTCTGAATTCTGTTAAGTCCTTAGCTAGGGTTTGGCCAAACAGATGAGAGTTATTTTCTGAATCCTTGGGGCAATACTGTCCAGGTTAATTGAGATCTGCTATTTGGTTCCTCAAAGGCAAACAGATATTGTGATTGGGAGTCTAAGGGTTTACAGAAAAAGGCATTTTTAAAGTCTGACATAGTAAACCAAGCAGTGTCTGCTGGAATCTCAGATAACAGCGTGTATGGATTAGGAACTATAGGGTGGAGAGGAACAACTGCTTCATTAATTATTCTCAGGTCCTGGACTAGTCGCCATTCCCCATTGGGTTTTTGAATTCCTAAAATGAGTGCCCTTCCAATTTTGCCTTCAGTAGCCCACACTTCAGGGTTTATATTGAAACATAATGGTCCTCGTGTTCCCAAATTCATTGTAATGAATGTCTGAAGTTTTGATAGTAAGTCTCTTCCCAATAAAGGGGTAGGACATTCTGTATTAATCAAAAATGCACGAGAAAACATCATCTCGTCCCACTCACAACTCAGTGGGGGAGTAAACTTTCTGGTAATAGGCCATCCAGACACTGCTTGTACAGTTATAGTATTAGAGGAAAGAAGTCCGGGGTAAGAATAACTGGTACAGAATAACTGGTGCCAGTATCTAAGAGGAAGTTGATCTCTTGGCTCCCTACAGTGAAGCACACCTGGGGCTCATGTGCAGTGATAGGAGTTTTGGGAGCCAGAATTGAGCCTGGGCCCCTGTCAGGTCTGTGTGGAGGAGTCTGGCTTCAAGGACATTCGCCCCTGAGGACAGTCACTCTTCCAGTGACTGCTTAGACATTTAGGGCAGGGATTTTGGGGTGGTCACTTGGCTTGTGGGCAATCCTGTTTGAAATGTCCTTCCTCTCTGCAATGGAAACAAGTCCCTTTTGTGGACTGAGGAGCATTTCATCTTCCTCCTTTTTCACTCTGGGAACCTACTCCTCTAAGAGCAAATACCAATGCTTTAGTCCTTTTTCTGTCTCTGCACTCTTTCTCCTTCTTTTCCTGTTGATCTCTATTATAAAAAAGTGGAAGTAGCAACTCAGAGGATGTCATCTAAAGATTGATCAGGGCCATATGCTAATTTTTGTAACTTCCTCCAAATGTCTGGGGCTGGCTGAGTAATAAATTTGTCATTTAAAAGTAGGTGGCCCTCTATGGATTCAGAATCCACAGTGATGTGTTTTCTCATTGCTGCTCTTGGGGCTGCTTCCTTCTCATTGGAGGTCAAAGTCTGGTTGAGTAATAGCATAATATCTTTCCAGGTGAGGTCAAATACCTGGCATAAGTTTTGAAATACCTCAATATATTTATCCGGATCCTCTGAAAATTTCCCTAAGTCTGTTTTTATCTGTCTTAGGTCTTGAAGGGAAAAGGGGGTATGTACTTTGATTGGTCTAAATTCTCCTCCTGTCATCTCTTTGAGGGGTAATATATTTCATCTATTGGGGCAGATGGAGAGAGGCCAGGATGTGGGTGACAGAAGGGCCACTGTTGCACGTCAACAGGGGATGGAGATTTTGTGGGTCCTCTTGATTCTTTCTCCTCAGTAGGAGATTCCTTAAGATTTTCTCCCTTATGGCAGATATCATAACTAAGTCTACTTTACATTGTTGGCATAATTTGGGGTTTTCCCTTAGGGCAAAGAAAACCTGGACATATGGCACCTCCCACCATTTCCCTTCCCTTTTGCAAAATTTATTGAGCTGTAAAATTATATTAAAATTGATATTTCCCTTTGGTGGCCAGGTTTCTCCATCAGGGAGTTTGTATTGAAGCCAGACCTGGTGGCAGAAGAAAATGAGGCACTTTTTCTTGAGCATCTGTGGGTCAAACTTATCCCAATTTTTCAATATGCAGGTAAGTGGTGCACCTAGCACCCTGGGGAGAGAAGCTCCCATCTGGGTGAGAAGAGAAAAAACAGGACTCAGGTGCCCACGCCAGAAAAAAAAAAATGTTCTTATTAGGGACATCTCCCTAAGTTTTAGCTTCTTTAGCATCCAGAAAACACCGTCTCTCATCTTGCTTTGCCAAGGTTGTTTCTGGTCCCCTTTGGCAAAGTGCTAGGGTCCCAGTTTGCCCTGTGCCTGACCCTGGGAGGATTCAGACTTAAGGGCATTACTGCTTTCCTTCCTGCCACTATAAAACCCACAACAAAAGAGAATCGCACACTCTTCTTGTTGCCTTTTTGCCCCGTAGACTAAAGGAATCTCCTGAGGGTGAGGAATAGCTACTGGTTGTAAGGCATATAGCACTTTCTATCAGAGGGACTCTTGGAAAGGTTGATTTTAAAATGCCTTCCTCCGGCAGCTTAAAGAGAACACAGCACATTTTAAGTATCGGAATGGTAATAGGGAAATTTTAAAATAGACTAGTGAAAGTTGCCTATTCACATGAGGGAACCTGGGCACTTGTTACTAATTATCCCATGTCTTTCTCTCAGTCCTACAACCTGAATTTCCAGTGTTTCTGACCAGCGAAGGAATGGGAGCATCCAGGAGGGAATGGATGCGGGGTTGGGAGTATTGTGTAGCCCACACGGAGGCAAATGTACTTGGGGCTTTCCCTCAGTGCCATTCATCTACCGATCACTCTAGATACCCCTTAGGGCTGTCGGGAGGGGGCTCAAGAGAAAGGAACCTTGTGAACATGTCTGAGTGTAGCCCAGACCAGAATTCTGCAGTTGTCCCAAACTCCTTCCTTCACCTCGGCTCATCCAAGACAGGTCGGTATTAGGGACACTGTATTACTCATGCCAACTGCTCTCCGGGCCCAGACAGAAAAGTGGGAAGCTGCTTTGGCAGATCCCAACATGCCTGCTTTGCATCGAACAGGTGATTGAGAGCTGCCTAGGCCAAGAAACCTCTCACCTGAGTCTTGAAGAGTGGCTGGCGGAAGCACTAGTTGTATTTAAATAGCCATGGGGTGCCCATATCATCCTCCAGAAAGAGAGAAAGATGCACCTCAGACATACGTGGGGTGCATGGAGAGAAGTTTACCTCGGTGTAGATCTCGGTGGAACCTCCAATCTGTTACCACTGTTTGCTGGTGATGAGTCCTTGCTTCCCCAAATGCTGAGTTTTAACACCAGAGAAGCACACTGAGGCAAGTGGAGAGTGGAAGGCTTTATTAAAGGACAGCAGAAAGGACTTCCTCTCAGAGGAAGAAGGGGACCCAAAAGGGGGAATCCATGGAAGGGGGAGGTCTTCCCTTTTTTATAGCTAAGGTCTTCTTTTGGTCCTCCCACATTCCTGTCCTTTGTTTCTCTCTATCCTGCAGTGATAGAATGCAGGTGGGAAGGCCAGATGGCGAGAGATAGGTGGACTGGAGGAGTAATCTGGGCAGGAAGGGCCTGGGGTTTTGATTAGCACCTCCCTGTTTGTTGGGAGCTACTTCATTAACAGTTCCTTAGGATGGGTTCTGGGCCTTGGGGACATTAACATTTCAATTTCCCCAGGTGCTGTTCGGGTTTCCTGGACTCCATTCTCAATAATGGGCTCCATTTTCTTTATCTTACTCAATATTAGACCCGATTTACCTAAGTACACTAACTACCTATCTGTAAATCTGGCTTCAATATCGAAACCGTAATACCCTATGTGGTGGTGGGTGGAGGGATGATGGCCAGCGTCTCATTAAGGGGTACTTCTTCCTGCCCAGGATAATCGAAGCCACCCTAAAATTTATAATCTCAAATAATTAGTAAATAACAAAGCACAAATACTCAGAAATATATTTACAGAAAGTGACCCCCCTGATAGATCTAGTCCACGTGGGTTCTGGAACTAGGAAAGACAAAATGGCTCTAATGGTTTATTTAACAGGGTAAATCAAAGGCAGGGAAAAGGGTTCAAGGGCGGAATCTTGCTTCCTGATATCTTGCAGTCAGCTGGTTGATTGACATTTTGGCAGGTCACATACATCTCAGGTGCTGTGTGGGCCACAGAACCCAATAGCGATTCACATTATCCCTGGGCAATTGACCAGAGAAAATGTTCACTGGTCATTCCTAGATACCAGATGTCTCTATCCACAATGCTTCCACGCATGGTGACCCATATGCAATCCATGGATGGCCCCAGACAACACCCTTCCAGTTTCACTTTTATTTTCATGAGATCCATTATTTTTTCTCCTCTCTCTCTAACTTCTACATATGAGAGAATACATTTGACTCTTGGCTTTCTGAATGGCATATTTCACTTTAGCATGAAGTTCTTCATTAAACTAACAAATGACATAATTTCATTTAAAATATGTCTTGAAACAGTGAAACTAACTGACTGTAGGTTATAACAGAAAGCAAGGAATCAAGGATTTATTGCAGGTTTGGGGTTACCAATTGCTCCTTACTGATATGACTAAAGAACAGATTTGGAGAAGAAAAACCAAAAGTATTATTTTGAAATAAATTTTTAGACTCCTGCTAGGTTTCCAAATGGAAACATCAAGTATCTTATGGGCACACACACACACAAACCCTGAACCATTTGAAAATAACCTGGAAATTGTTGACACTTCTTCTAAATACTGTGTGGCATGTCTTTCTTGAAAGGGACATTCTTCTACATTATCATGCATACCCTACATTATCATCCACATTATCGTCATTGCACTGAACAAATTTAGTATTGATTCAATAATATTAACTAATGTATAATCCATATGTGAATTTCTTGTTTTTCAATGCTGGGGATCAAATCCTGGGCATCACACAATTCAAGTTGAGCCCTCTACCACTGAGTTGTAACCACAGCATGTTTTTTTCTTTTCTTTTTTTTATTTACAGTGTTGGGGATTGAACTCATGCACTCATGCATGCTAGACAAATGCTCTGCCACTGAGCTACATCACCATAAGTCTTTTCCAATTGGGAAAGAGAGAGAGAGAGAGAGAGAGAGAGAGAGAGAGAGAGAGAGAGAGAGAGAGAGAAAAGAAAAATGAAACAAAACCTATATAGCTGTTTTTCCTCATCTTCCATATTTGACTTCTATGAGACTTTTCAACGTAAAGGTTCTAGCATCATTTTTTTAATATTCTGGGAAATTATTATTATTCCTAAAATGTTTCAAGATTCAAGCTAAGTAAGAGAATGTCAAACAAGCTGGATCTCTAAGGTTGTCTGAGTTCTATGAGTAACTCAGTTCTCTGATTCCCCCATGTTGTGCCCTCCAAAGCACATTGTTTATAATCATTCTTGCTTTCAAATCCTTACTCTATTGTACTGATGCTTTTTTTTTTAGTTGTAGATGGACAGCATGCTGTTTTATTTATTTCTATGCAGTGCTGAGGGTGGAACTCAGGGTCTCCAATGCATTAGGCAATAGGTTTGCCATAGCCCCAGCTCCTACTGCTGCCTCTTCAAAGAAAAACTTTTAAGAATCACAGCTCTAGCCCCAAACACAGCATCAAGTTCTTCTACTATGGTCAGCCAATAATCCCCAAAGTTTCTTTCTTTCTTTTTTAAGGTTAAGGTCTATTATTTCATTCCCTGCCTAAAACAGTCCAAGGGTTCTCAAAGCACACAGAATACTCTCAAACCAACCAACCTCTGTTGTGCAATATTTGACCTTTTCAAGTATTCCAAAATCTCAATTGTGAAATCTAGCATATTTTGTTGCCCTTGTATACAATTAATCATTAAATCTAAAAAGCTTTTTAAAGTGGTAGTGGGGGAAAACACTATCACCATATATGGTTTTGGTTTTATAGGATAAAGAGAGATGTCCTATATCTTACACACCTCAGAATCATTTAAAATTTTTTTTTTTAAATCTCACCATGTTTTTAACATACGGTTGTGTCTTTGTCCACTTTTCTATCCTGCGTAGGCAAGCTTGTCAAATAGCATTTCACTAGGTGGGAACAGATACAACAAGGCCAAGGCAGGAGAAATTTTAGAGCATATACCGCAATATTTCCCAGCTGGCTGAGAAAACCCACATTAAGATTTCTCCAACATTAACCAAGTGCTTGACAGGTGGGTACCTGTGCTCAACAGGATGAATTTTCTTGACAACACAGTAAGTCAAAAAGGCAAACTAGAAATGAGGGCAGCTTCTTCACTGAGAAGGTGGGTGGCTCTGAAAAGAGCCTTTGGAAGCCAGCGCGTCCCCGGCGGGGACTCACTTGGAGCTGGTGTACTTGGTGACCGCCTTGGTGCCCTCGGACACGGCGTGCTTGGCCAGCTCCCCGGGCAGCAGCAGGCGCACGGCCGTCTGGATCTCCCGCGACGTGATGGTCGAGCGCTTGTTGTAGTGCGCCAGGCGGGACGCTTCGCCGGCGATGCGCTCGAAGATGTCGTTGACGAACGAGTTCATGATGCCCATGGCCTTGGACGAGATGCCGGTGTCGGGGTGGACCTGCTTCAGCACCTTGTACACGTAGATGGAGTAGCTCTCCTTGCGGCTGCGCTTGCGCTTCTTGCCGTCCTTCTTCTGGGCCTTGGTGACGGCTTTCTTGGAGCCCTTCTTGGGGGCCGGAGCGGACTTGGCCGGCTCGGGCATGGCGAGAAGCAAGAGGCGAGAAGCAAGAGGCAAGAAGCGCGGGCAGCTGGAGACCGGGAAGGCTATCGCTACAGGAGAAGCGCAGCGCGGGAGGAGCGCAGGGGCGCACCGGAAGCGACCGCGTACTTATAGCGGCGGTACGCAAATTAAGGTCGCGATCGCGCCACGCTGTGATTCGCGGGTTTTCGGGGGCGCGGAGGCGAGGGAGACGAGATTATGTAAATGAATGGATTCTGCCTGAGCTCTCCTATTGGTCATCGGGGCAAAACTGTGCTTTGGCCAATGAGAGCACACCATGGACAATCGCCGTTCTGCCTATAAAAGGGTGAAGCGGCGCCGTTTGCCGCGACTTTCCGGGTGGCCAGGCGGGAGGTGGTTGTGTCCACTGTCGCTGTCATGTCCGGCCGTGGCAAGCAGGGAGGCAAGGCCCGCGCCAAGGCCAAGTCGCGCTCTTCGCGCGCTGGCCTCCAGTTCCCGGTGGGCCGGGTTCACCGCCTGCTGCGCAAGGGCAACTACGCCGAGCGGGTGGGGGCCGGCGCGCCCGTCTACATGGCGGCGGTGCTCGAGTACCTGACCGCCGAGATCCTGGAGCTGGCTGGCAACGCGGCCCGCGACAACAAGAAGACGCGCATCATCCCCCGCCACCTCCAGCTGGCCATCCGCAACGACGAGGAGCTGAACAAGCTGCTGGGCAAAGTGACCATCGCCCAGGGCGGCGTCCTGCCCAACATCCAGGCCGTGTTGCTCCCGAAGAAGACGGAGAGTCACCACAAGGCAAAGGGGAAGTGAAGTGGGGCAGGCGTCCGGTAGCCGCCCACTCCAGCCCGCGCGCCCCGAAGGGGGTGCCTGTGAAATCAAAGGCTCTTTTCAGAGCCACCCACACCCTCAAGTGAAAGGAGTTGTTACAGTAACCGCCCCCGCCGCGTAGTCAGCGGTGGACCCGGAGGGGACCGACGGCCGGCCGGCGAGCGCGGGGAGAGCCCTTCGCCTTGTGCTCCCGGCCGTTCTCTCCGAGGCTTGAGCCTGTAACCTCTGCCGGCCCTTGCCGGGTGGGCCGTGAATCTTGGAGCCCAGCACGGCGGGGACCGGACACTGCGCTCCGCGGGCAGCCCGGGTCAGTAACGCTAACGCCGCGGCGGTGGCTCCCACCAGTATGTGACACCACTCCCCACCCCACACGTTCTCTCGGGCTCTTGAGGGACCCCCGTCCCCCAAAGGAGGCCCGGTAGTCCCTAGGGGGACGTAGTCACCAGCGCAAGCCCTGTCCGCTGCAGGCGAGCGCGGCGGGCCTGGGTCGCCTTGGCCTCCTGACTGAGCTGGCCTCGTTGACTTCTAAGTAGCGACGGAGCTACCCGCCTAGGCCTCCAGAGGCGGAATCTGGCGCCCCGGAGAGGACACAACCCTCCCACCCGAGAAGCACGAACGATCCGCCCCGAAGCCACCCGGGAGCGGGAGGGAGGCGGGACTAGGCGTTCGGGGACGGGGGTCAAGTAAAAGTTGAGGCTCGACTGGGGAGCCACAAAGCGTCAGGAGGAGGGCGTCGCGGGCAGCGTGCTCCAAGGGGACGAAGGGCCGAAGAGGGAAGGAACCATCGGACGGACGGAGCAGCGGCCCAAGACGACGTCCACGCAGCGAGAGCGAGGGAAAGAAGACGAGGTGGGCAGAGCGCGGGCAGAGCGGACGGGGGAGGCGAGGCCGCGGAGGGGGCGGGGGGCGCTCGGGGAGGCAGGATCCCGCCCGAGCCAACCGCGGAGGCTGGTGCGGGTGACGTCACAGCCAACGGACGGCCTGCGCGGGACTTTTCAATTTCTCCCCGCCCAATCGGGAAAAGACTGTGCCTATAAAGACTGCGGCGGCGGGCGGGCAGCAGGTCACTGTCCGTGCCGCCGCGCCGGAGAGCTAGTGCCTCCGTCCGCCATGGCCCGTACGAAGCAGACCGCGCGCAAGTCGACCGGTGGCAAGGCCCCGCGGAAGCAGCTGGCCACCAAGGCGGCCCGCAAGAGCGCGCCGGCCACCGGCGGCGTCAAGAAGCCCCACCGCTACCGGCCGGGCACCGTGGCGCTGCGCGAGATCCGGCGCTACCAGAAGTCCACCGAGCTGCTGATCCGCAAGCTGCCGTTCCAGCGGCTGGTGCGCGAGATCGCGCAGGACTTCAAGACCGACCTGCGCTTCCAGAGCTCGGCCGTCATGGCGCTGCAGGAGGCCAGCGAGGCCTACCTGGTGGGTCTGTTCGAGGACACCAACCTGTGCGCCATCCACGCCAAGCGCGTCACCATCATGCCCAAGGACATCCAGCTGGCCCGCCGCATCCGCGGGGAGCGAGCTTAAGAAGTAAGGCGCTCGCCCGGCTCGAGGTTCCATCGCATCCAAAGGCTCTTTTCAGAGCCACCCACGGCGGCACTCGGAAGGAGCTGCACCGCTCTTCCTCCGCTCTCCAGGCGGTGGTGTCGTCCTCCGGGGCGAGGGGGTGGGAGGGAAGGGAAGGAAAGGGGAAGGCCGCACAGCGGGCGGAGAGCCCTGCCAGCCTTACCGCACGCCCGGTTCATTTCTTGTGCGGCGCGCACCGCCCTAGGACGGTCGCAGCCTAACGCTCCCCTCGGTTCGCCTCTCCCGGGAACCCTCTTAGCAACCGGCAGCCTTCGGCGATAGTGTCGCCCAGGGCGGGAGGAGGGGCACGAGCGACCTTATCCCGCGGTTGAGTCAGTAGGGGACGCTAGGGATTCGCGGTCCGCAGGGCCGGCTTGGGCTGGGCTGCCCTGGCCGTCGCCTGCGACCTTTCGGCCCCACCCGACCCGCCGGAAATGTCCTCCCTGTCCTCTCTGGGAAGTCGCCCCTAAGCTCTTTCCAGACTTATGTCGCTGGAGTTGGGGAAACTGGTGATAAAGCTGCGGGTCGAGTGAGTCCCTGGCCACTTGCGTAGTACCTTCACCCACTAGTGTTGGGTGTAGTGGTGCTTCGTGTGTCGGATAACTGATGCTCTGTTCAGTATCATCCAGTGCCTCATTATCTCTCGCGTCCAAGTCTTGGTAAATGTTCCTGGGCACACCTGAGGTATGTGCGTGTTAACCCCTTTGAATTTTCAGCAGTACTTTGTTCGGACCTCTTCCGGATTTTTGCTGGACATCAGTTGATCCGTCCCCCATCTTAATTTTCTTCAAAACCCCAATGCGGGCTCAGTGAACCCCTTTGGAGCCCGGTCTTATGCCAGCGTGGCTCTGCCAAGCTGAGGTCTATTGCCTGCAGTCTGGGAAGCACGTGCAAAGCTGGTGTGAGTTGCCTCAAGTATCAACAGATGTAAGGGCTTTTGGTAAGGGCCCTGCTTTCCTATCCTAATCACCTACCTCAACATTTGAGCTGGCCCCCCGAAGCCCAAGAGTTGCACCCACAGGAGCAAGGGGCTGGGGACGCGCCCAGACGCCACAGTGACGCTGGCTCTTAAAGAACACACAGATCTTTTTAATGTGTAATCAGAACTTTATGCTGCAGTTTCACTCAGGAAAGGAGCAGGAAGAAAAGCACACTGTCTTATAGGAATCCAGCATTGGAGAAATGAGGAAATTCTTCCAAGGATTGTCTCCCTCTTTCTGTTCATCTGGTGCAGTATGATGATTGTTTCGTGGTACCCAGGGTTATTTAATCACTGAGCCACATCCTCAATCCTCAGGTCCTTTTTTTTTTTTTTTTTTTTTTTTTGAGATGGGGTCTTGCTAAGTTGCTCAGGGCCTTGCTAAAGTGCTGACTTTGGCTTTGAACTTGCAATCCTCCTGCCTCAACCTCCCAAACCCCTGTGATTACAGGCATAGTGCACCCACTGATGCAGTGTGTTTTGATGTTGATATCACAGTTATCCAAGAAGAAGAAATTGATAAGCTGGCCAAATTCTGTGGAGTTTAGTGTCAGAAATGACACAAGCCTAGGTGGGTTATTGCCTTCAAAGTTGTTCTCACTGAGGACTTAGCACTGATCCAGCCCTCCAGGAAGCAGGTGCCAAGGCTCTCAGAGCACCACTGCCCCATCTGACACACACACACACAAAGGTAGATGGTAAGTTGCCTACAAATATGAAACGTTCAGATTTTCCCAATATCTGATGGCTTCGGAAGTATTGTAGAGCAAGTTACTTCAAAGCTCAGTATGCCAGCAACCAATAGATCTGCCAATAGGCTGAAATTCTACTTTAATAGGAATACACAGGTTTTGATGACACAGCCAACAGTCCAATCTGGTGGGAAAGGAAAAATACTAAATTTTTAAAAGAAAATTTCTACTTCAAGAAAATAATCATGATTAGAGATGTAGCTACAGATATGGAAGCCTGTCCTCCTGCTGACGTTTTCATTGGGTTTAGAGGAAATGTGATTGGGCAACAAGTAAAGGACACTGCCAAATGGCAGGTACATCACTGATTTTTGTAAAGCTTTTGGGAGAACTGAAGGATAATTTCAATTTTTATATAGCTTGTTACAACTTCAGATTAATTTTTTTTAAGTTGTACAGATTGATACTGTTTGCATACATTTGCCTATAACAATAGAGGTGGTATTGATTTTCTGTATGTTCAAGTAAATTATAGGACTCCTAAAAGATTGCTTTTTTTTTTTTAACTTTTGTTACTATATTATTAATCTGTATTCCTTATGTATATTCCTGGCTATAATTTTACTCGATACCTTTTAAAGGTATCGAGTAAAATAAACACAATGTAGATTCAGCAGCCTTAAGTGAATATTGGTTTTCCCTTAGATGGATAAAATTTTATTTATATACCAATGGGGGTGGAAATCCCAATTCTACTAGGCCAAATAATGACACGGGCAATTCCAGGTAGGAATGAAGCAGAGGTGAAGAAAGGATCTGATGTCTTGCTGATATCCTGTAAACTCACCCAGTGCTATTTTCCTGGCCTGGGTACAATTGTGCAGCAGCAAATGAATGGTAGACCTGGGCCTCACCAGCCTCCATAACCCAGGCCACTCTCTGAGAGCTAGATCCTGGTGGTATTGTTCTTTGCTTTTGTCCACAGCATGGGACTCTTCCTGGAAGACATCCTGAGAAACAGATGAGTTCTGTGTAGATATTTGAGAATTATCCAGCCCAAAGCCCTCGAAGTTCAAGCTACTGGGCAGCATTGAACCAATGGAAGACAGAACATCTCCCTCTCGCCTCCCCTGATGGCAACTGCAAGCCCCAGAAGCTGTGAGGACAGGAACGAATTAGCTCAAGAAAGAATTCCTGCGCCAAGTGAGTGGAAGTCAGGACTGGTCCTGTTCAACTAGAGCAGTGAGCCGGGACTTTGCAGATCTGTACCCTCTTGATCACTGTTTATTTAAAACCAGTGTTTCTGTGTTGTTTTGTCTCAACACAGTTGATAGGTAAAACATAAGATTCATGAGACTTCACAGAGGGGAGAAGAAATGAGCAGAAACATTTTTGAAAACTTTGCCTTTCGGAAGGAGTGTGAAACAAAAGAAGAGAACGGTGGGGGGTGGCCTCTCCTAATGGGAAGTCCCCAGGTTTCAGTCCTTAGTCTTGCAGGGATTTTCAGAACAGGCACTGTTGTGGGCTGAATTATGCACCTACCCACCCTCCTGTTATTTGTATCTTGAAGCCCCACCCACAATACCTCATAATGTGACAGTATTTTGAGAGAGAGCCTTTAAAGAAATGATTAAGTTAAAATGGTCATTAAAAGTAGGCCCAATACAGAATGACTTGTGTCTTTATAGGAAGAGAGGGTTAGAACACAAAGGGATGACCAGGTATGTGAGGTGGCGATCTATAAGCCAAGGAGGGAGGCTAAGAAGAAACCAAACTTCCCAATACATTGTGATTTTAAACTTCCAGCCTCCAGAACAGGGACAAGATAAGTTTCCAGGGTTTAACCCCCTAGTCTGCAGTGCTTTGTTGTGGTGGCCTGCCGTGGTCTGGATAGTTTGAGATATGTCTCCCAAAGTTTCACGTGCTGGAAGTTCTGTCCTCCAAAGGTTCATATTGGACCCAATATGGACATGTTGAGAGGAGGTGGAAACTTTAAGGGGTAGGGTCTTGTATAATTAGTTCGTTAATCATCCCTTCAGATAATTAGGTCATTAACTTCTCAGAAGGAATTAATGTTAGTCTCATTGAATTAGTTCTAGCAAGAGCTGGTTATAAAATTTAGTGAAGCCATCCCACATATTTGGCCCTTCTGCATGTGGCTGATTCCTTTTCTGCTTCTCCACAATATTATGACACTGCCAGAAGGCCAGTACCAGATCATTTGGGCCCTCCAGCCACCAGAATCGTGACTCAAACAACTTTATAAAGAACCCAACCCCAGGTATTTTGTTATAGAAAATGGACTATAACCCCAACAAATTAATTTAGGCCCCATGGTCTCTTTTTAGGGCCTCACTGTCTAGAGTGATGGGATCTTTGGGACCTGTACTCAATTATAGGCAGAAGCAGCAGCAATGACTTAAAATGTGTAACAACAGCATCTTTATACTCAGCATCTCAATCATTGAAATTTGCTTTCAAAAATGCAGCCCAAAGTTCTCAGAGGGTGAATAACTTTCCAGTGTGGTAGAGCCATTTAGTGGCCTGACATTCCATGTCAGGGCCTTTCCACCCCAAGAATCATTTACTCTGAACTGAAACTAAGGCAGATTTAAAAGCAAGATGCCAACCAACTTAAAATGCTAAAGACACCCAAGACCCCCTGTGGTTCTGGGATTTGAGGACAGCCGGTACATGTCATGGTTAAGGTAGCTCACAGGTCCCTAACTTAGTAGAAAGAAACATGCCTTGGCTTTATCCTTCTCGCTTTTCTGGCTACTGCTGCCCTTTATGCTGTGACAGTAGTGAGTGCTCACAGGGTCTGTAAGGGGCCTGATGACAGAAGTCAGAGACAGGAACACTGGCTAGCCCAGGCCTGTCCTTTCTTGGCTGGTATGAGACAATGGAAGCCCTTCATGCTTAATCTTTTCTGGTTTCCTGTCAAAAGTGAGCCTTTGAGAACAGGCCTTGGCCTCGTGTTTTCTCCCAAGACTGCCACATAACACAGGCTCTGGGCTTTACCATGAAAGAGCTCCACAGACTCTCCCCGTGGCTCCATAAGAGGAGGAAACAAAGGCGGTGCAGATAGCTGCGTGTGCACCCACTTAGGAGGAAGAGCAGCTGACCCACCACTCCCCCTCACCCAGCCTGGGGCCAGGCCTTGTTAGGACACTGCTGGCTTTTTGGGCAGCCGTCTTGGGCATTTGCCCAACAGAGCCAGGCTACCCAATCTAGTCCTCACTATGGTCTGGGAGGGCTATGAGGAATTCACCAGTGCCTTTCACACGCAGTTTAGTGACAGCATTTCTGGTAATCGGGCAAAGATGACAATTCTACTGTTCTTTGAAGGCCAAACTTCCTAGGCCTAATAAAACTTTTTTGGAATGTTTTTATTGGTTGGAGAATCTAGGGCAAAGTATTACCCATTTTTTTAAATGTTAAAAAATGTTTGGATAAAAATTCTAACATTTCGGGTACATAAGGAGTTTTCTACTTTCAGAATAGTCTTAAAGAAAATCAAGCAAAAAGCAATTCACAGCCTCTTGAATATTCTCCAGCTATAGGCCTGCTTCCAGAAAATCTACCATAGAATTGGTACTGTAAATTGAATTGTAGCTGAGTTTTTGATAGAGCTGAAGGTGGCCTCAGCTAAGGTAGTGGTAGTAGTAGACAGATGAAGTGGTGAATTTGAGGGAGTTACAAAAGATTGACTCAATAAGATTTGATGATTTAGGCATTTGGAGAAGAAAGAAGAAGGAGCTTCTAGCCTTAGCAGCTAGGAGATAGCAGTAGATTATACTGAGGTGGGGAATGCAGGGGAAAGAAACTGCTTTTAAAACCAAGAAGATGCATGAAGAGCTGGGTGCAGTGGTGCACACCTGTAATCCCAGAGGCTCAGGAGGCTGAGGCAGGAGGATCACAAGTTCAAAGCCAGCCTCAGCAACTTGGCAAGACCCTAAGCAACTTTGTGAGAACCTGTCTATAAATAATATATAAAAAGGAGCTTGGATGTGTCTCAGTGGTTAAGTGTCCCTGTGTTCAATTCCCAGTACCCCTTTATGCATCTTAAAAAAAAAAAAAATGCATAAAGTCCCTGTTGAAATTCAGGAGGACATACCCACTGGGAGTTAGGAATATTAATCTATAAAATAAGGAGATTCAGCTGGACCTGTTTGTGGGCAAGTCCTGTACAGATAACAGAAGGCCGGGAATTGGATGAGATCTAGCCAGAGGTCTCAGAGAAAAAAAGACTGAGGCTGACATCCTGGGCAAACAGGAGTATTGATGTGAGATGGTAGATGAGGAGAATGCCAGGAAGCAGAAAGGATAACTGGAAAGGGATGAGGACCACCAGGAGAGAGTATATCCCAAGGAGGCAGAGGGCCATATTGTGCATTGAAGTTCAGAAGTAAGAAAACTTATGGGGCTGGGGTTGTGGCTCAGTGGTAGAGCGCTCGCCTGGCATGCACGAGGCACTGGGTTCCATCCTCAGCACCACATAAATGTAAAATAAAGATATTGTGTCCACCTAAAACTAAAAAATAAATATTTTTTTTAAATAACATGCTTTTTTTTTTTTTTTTTTTTTGGTACCAGAGATTGAAACCAGGGTAACTTAGCCACTGAGCATCCCCAGCACTTTTTATTTTTAATTTTGAGACAGGGTCTCACTAAGTTGCTGAGTCTGGCCTTAAACCTATGATCCTCCTGCCTCAGCCTCCCAAGTTGCTGGGATTACAGGTGTGCACCACCATACCCAGCTTGACTTTATCTTTCTGTATATCTATTTTTGTTCTGGGGATTGAACCCAGGATATCGTGCATGCTAGGCAAGCATTACCACTGAGCTACATCCTCAGCCCTGATAATACTTTATATCTTTTATCTCTTTTAATCATCATGATAACCTGACCGAGTAGGCAGATGTTTTATAATCCCCATTTTACAGATGGGGAAGGTTTGAGTATTTTTGCCCAAGAGCCCCACAACTATTAAATGATGGGGCTAGGGATTCCATACTTACTGCAGGACTCCAAAGTTCATATATGTAAGCAGAAAGCAGCAAGTGAACAGCTCATGTTGGAAGCTCAGAAGTGAAGTGACAGGAGGTACACAATGCATAGGTTTAAGGGCCTTGTGGCTTCAAGTGACACTTCTCTACCCACTTACCCATCCCCACCTGACCTCACTACATCTAGGAGAGAAAAACCTCCTGGTGCCAGGGATGAGTTTGTCACTTCTGTGCTTTAAAATCTTTCCATGTTCTCTATCCTGTACCTTCATAATGAAATCTACACCCACACGTTGTAGCACAGAAAAGCAGAAACTAAGGACAAGGTCCCAAGCTTGGCCAGAGTCCTAGCTCCGCCTCTCACTACCTGCATGACTGGTGGATGCTTGGTCCTACCAGGCCTCAGGTCCTCGTCTGTGGAGAGAATGATATCTGCCTGGTGGTGGTATCTCCAGACATCGTTTCTTTAACAATTCCCATAAAGTGACAAGCACAGTGTCTAATCCAAAGTGAACAATAGAAAAAAAATTACACTTACTAATTATTCAGAAAAATTAAGACAAAATCATAAAGGTAAATATCCTCACCACCCCTAAATTGTAGACTTCTCCTGACTTTTGAGTCGATGTTCATGAGCTATTCCCCTCACTGCACAAGTTTCTCACCCTTCATAATGTACCTGCAATTCCCAATTATGCCTTGGCAAAATCTTTTTTTTGTCCAGGCATCTGCCTCGCTTGAATGGCTTCTCTCCAATAAAAGGGTTCAGCACACACTCCTCCATCTCTTCCTTGCCTGCCTTGCCCCGCTTGCGGGAGCTGCGGCTGAGGAGCGGTCACTGAACCCAAAGAAAAGGTACTTTCCGTGTCTGTGTCTTTATTTAGTCCCCAAATTCACTTGGAGTGACCCTGACTGGTTTAGTCGTATGTTGTGACACAACCCAGTGCCTCACACGTGCTAAGCAAGTGCTCTACCACTAAGCTACAACCCTAGCCTCCTCAGTTCTACCAAGTATACCTTCTCCTCTGTTTTAACAGCTTCTCCCAGAATTAATTTATCCTTCCTGGTAGATTCTGAGTTCTTTCAGGGTGAATATTTCACTTTGTTCATCTCCGTAGATCAGCATCCTAACACATCCTGAGAGTGCCTAGAATACACTCGTCAGGAAACACCTGATGAGGGACCTAGTTCCACTAGCCTCTGAATTGTCACTCAAAAGAATGCAATCCCCCATCCCCTTCCATGCTCTCCAGAATTTACAGACCAGAAGCAAGTTTGGCCTGTGCTCTGAAGGAATTTCCTCCATATTGGCCCCAGGGGAAAGCAGATAGCTGCCTGAGGTGTATCCCTTGTCCACAGAGGACTAAAGCTCACCGTTAACCTGTTTATGTGGCCTTAGCTGAGGGCACAGTTCCCCACTAGCAGCCCTCAATGGACTCGGTGCTTGAAGGCAGATGCTTTAGGAGGGGTGCGTATTCTTTGGTAGACTGAATAATGGACACCCCCCAGCCCCCAGAAGAGATTCATGGCCCAGTCTTTGGACTTTGTGAATGTTGCATTATGCAGCAAAGGGACTTTGCAGACATGAAGAAATCCTCAAGATGGGGAGCTTATACTGTATCATCAGAATAGACCCTAAATGTGATCACAAAGCTTTTATTAGAAGGCAAGAGGATCGATGAGGGAGAAGGTGCTGGGTTGACAGAAGCAGAGATTGGACTAATGTATGCAGGAGCCAAAACCTGCCAGCAGTTTCTAGAAGCTGAAGAGTCAAAGAACATACTCTCCCTCTGGACCTTCCGGAAGGAACCAGTCCTTCAGATACAGGGTTTAGCCCTATAGGACTCATTTGGGGCTTCTAACCTTCAAAACTAAAAGAATAAATTTGAATTGTTTTAGTTTTTGTTGGTTTTTTGTTTTTGTTTTTGATCCAGTACTGAGGATTTAACCCAGGGGCATTTAACCACTCAGCTATATTCACAGCCATTTTTATTTTTTATTTTGAGGCAGGGTCTCACTAAATTGCTGAAGCCAACCCCAAATTTGCAATCCATCCTGCGTCAGCCTCCTTAGTCATTGGGATTCTGGGTGTTCACCACTATGCCCAGCAAATTTGAGTTGTTTTAAACCACTAAGTTTGTGGTGATTTACTAAAGCAACAGTAGAAAACTAATATGCCATTCTTTTTTAAAAAAAAAAAAAAACTTTTTTAGTCATAGGTGTACACAAAACCTTTATTCTATTTGCTAATTTTCTATGTGGTGCTGGGGGTTGAACCCAGTGCCTCATGCATGCCAGGCAACATCTCCACCACTGAGCCCCAGCCCCAGCCCCTAAAATGCCACCCTTATTCTCACAAGACAGTAGTTCCTTTTAATGGGGGATGAGGGGATATAAGTGTGGCAGGTACAAAGTGTATTTGGAAGGCAGGAGGGAGAAAGGGGAAGGAGGTGGCAGCAGAAGAGAAAAAGAGTGAAGTGGCCCCCCCTTCTCCACAGAGAAGCCCTCTTCACCGTGGCTGACTTTAGGTCAGCCAAAGAGTCTCTGCAAAAAAGAGTCCAATGTAGATAAAATTCCTATTTTCATGTCACCCTGTTTACTTGGCCACTGGCCAGGAAGATACCAGCACTCCAGGTGCTGGACACCCCTTACTAGTTTTTCATAAACGTATCCAGTATAGTAGTTTGTAGAAATGTGGAAACAAGATCTCTGGCCTTGAGCTGGGCTTCACAGAGATGTCTACATTTTTAAGATAAATTACAACTGGGCTCCATGGTAACAGCTGGCAGGGGAGGAAAGAAAGGGGAGAAGAAGGTCTCCCCTTCTCAGGTGTGGTCCTTGAAGGGTTAACTTGCCCAGAACAGTGAAAGAAAAAGCTGCTTTTATGTGAACTTCTGCAGACTGTGGACTTCTGAGCCCCTCCCCTTACACACTGTGTATAAAACTCTGAAACTCCCTGAACTCGGGGTTCAGGGGATTGATTGATTACAGCAAAAGCTGTGCCCTCTGAACCTGGCTGCAGCCAAATAAAACTGTTTCCTGCTGTCTTTGGTGCCTTGCCTCCTTTGTCCCTACAACAAGAGAACAATAATAGGAGACTCAGGGTGGGCAGTGATTCTTTCCTGACTGCAAATTGAATCCTTCATTGTCCTGATCAGACTCCCTAACTGGCTCAGCCCAAAATTGCCTAAGGCATCTCGTATCTTTGCAAATAGGACTGAACTTTCCTAGACAATTGTTGACCTCCCAAACATGAACTTCCTATGGGCTCTGAGTTCATCCTGGGCAGGAAGGCCAACAGGCTGACTTCATTGTGGATTTGTAGGAACAGTGGCAACCTCTTTGTGTTCTTGAGGAAAGTTCACAGCCAGACTTCTATAAGGATGCCTTGTTAGTTCCCTAGGACTGCTGTTAACAAATTACCTCAAATTTGGCAGCTTAAACCAATATGGATTTATTCTTTTACAGTTTGGGAGACCAGAAGTCTAAAATCAAGTTACCATGCTCCCTCCAAAGGCTTAAGGGGATAATCTATCCTCACCTCTTTCAGTTCCTATTGACTCCTCAGTTCGTAGCAGAGTAACTCCAATGTCTGTCTCCATATTCACACTAACTTCTTCCCTGTGTCTCTGTGAGTCCAAATTCCTTCTCCTCCTCCCTCTCCCTCCCTCTCTCTCTCTCTCTCTCTCTCTCTAATATTTTTTTTAGTTGTAGTTGGACACAATACCTTTATTTTATTTATTTATTTTTATGTGGTGCTGAGGATCAACCCAGTGCCTCACACATGCTGGGTAAGCACTGCTGAGCCACAACCCCAGCTCTTTTTTTTTAATAGTATATATTTTTTATGGACACAATGTCTTCATTTTTATGTGCCTCACCTGTGTGAGGCAAGCATTCTACCACTGAGCTACAGCCCCAGCCCCTCTTTTCTCTTAGCGGGAGCCGCTGAAGATCTGACTTCAGACCACGTCTTCCAGGCAGAGCTAGAGATCAGCCGGCTTCTCCCACCTGCCCAGGGAGCTAGACAAAGCTCTAGAGGTCCTGGGACCCGCTTCTGAAGAGAGGGCCCCAAAGACAGGTTTCTGAGGAACGTCTGCACCACGTAGGGATCTGATGGAGACCGAAAAGCAGAAAAAGGTTTTATCCTGAAATCAGAAAGAAAACATATAATAAGGAAATTTAGTAGACCAGATGATCTCTGAATTTTCCAGCACCAGTGATATTCTATGTTTCTATATGGCAAACATATTGATAGATCCTCAGATTACTTCTGATTTGAAAAGATTAGGCTTATATTCTAGTAAAAGTCAGGAGCATCAGGGTGATCAGAGAATACCAGGTTATTTAAACTGTATAGATATCAGTTTCTTCCTTTGTGAAATGGGGATAACATTTACCTTGGAGAGTTGTTCAGAAACAATGTGATGTACAAGAAGGAAATTCCCAAGGGATTTGACGTGTTTGAACCTCAGTATTCTCCACTGTAAAATAAGAATCCTAACTTTGACCTTTCAGGGATTGCTCTGAGGATTCAAAATGTTGTTTATAG